TCTTCTTGGATATTAAGGGGGCTTTTGATTCAGTATCGGTTGAAGTCCTTTCAGACAAACTCCACGCTTGTGGCCTTTCTCCATTAATTAATAACTTTTTGTACAATTTGCTGTCAGAGAAACATATGAGCTTTTCTCATGGAAACTCTACAGCTTCTCGATTTAGTTACATGGGTCTCCCCCAGGGCTCATGTTTAAGCCCCCTTCTGTATAATTTCTACGTCAGAGAAATTGACAATTGTCTAAGGGACAACTGCACATTGAGACAACTTGCAGATGACGGAGTAGTGTCTATGACAGGACCCAGAGAGGCCGACCTGCAAGGACCCTTACAGGATACCTTAGACAATTTGTCTACTTGGGCTATCCAGCTAGGTATCGAATTCTCCACGGAGAAAACTGAGTTGGTCGTTTTTTCTAGGAAGCATAGCCCAGCACAACCAAAGCTTCAACTTTTGGGTAAACCGATCACTCATTCTATGTCCTTCAAATATCTTGGGGTCTGGTTCGATTCAAAATGCACCTGGAGATCCCACATTGAGTATCTGAAGCGGAAATGCCAACAAAGGATCAATTTTCTCCGAACAATTACCGGAACGTGGTGGGGAGCCCATCCGCAAGATCTTCTAACGTTGTACCGGACAACGATTTTATCGGTTTTAGAATACGGTAGTTTTTGTTTCCAGTCGGCGGCTAAAACTCACATCATCAAACTGGAACGGATCCAGTATCGCTGTCTTCGTATCGCGTTAGGATGCATGCACTCGACTCATACGATGAGTCTCGAAGTGTTAGCGGGCATGTTGCCACTCTCTGATCGGTTTTCGGAATTATCCCTCAGGCTCCTCACCCGTTGTGAAATTATGAACCCACTGGTGATTGCAAACTTTGAGAAGCTTCTTGAGCTAAACCCTCAAACTCGTTTTATGTCATTGTACTACGTGTACATAACACAGGATGTCAGCCCTTCGCAGCATAATCCCTATCGTGTTTGCTTCTCCGACTTCGACAATTCTGTTCTATTTGATTTATCCATGACGCAAGAGATTCGCGGAATCTCAGAGCATCATCGTTCCATGATTGCTCCGTCAATTTTCGCTGCAAAGTTTGGCCAAGTTGATTCCGCAAGATCGTTCTTCACAGATGGGTCACTAATAGAGGCGTCCGCAGGTTTTGGTATTTATAACGAATTTCATAGCGCCTCTCGAATGCTTCAAGCTCCTTGTTCCGTATATGTTGCGGAACTGGCGGCAATACATTATACGCTAGCAACGATCGCCTCACTTGCACCAGATCATTATTTTATTTTTACGGATAGTCTCAGTTCTGTCGAGGCTATTCGCTCCATGAGGCCGGTAAAGCACTCCTCGTATTTTCTCATGAAAATACGAGAGCTTCTAAGTGCTTTATCTTTAAGATCTTTTGTCATCACCTTTGCATGGGTCCCATCTCATTGCTCGATTGCGGGCAATGAGAAGGCGGACTCGCTTGCAAAGGTGGGCGCTATGGAAGGCGATATTTACGATCGACAAATCGCCTACGACGAATTTTTCTTCATTTATCGTCAACAGTCACTCGCCAGCTGGCAAAATAAATGGAGTGAAGGGAGTTTGGGACGATGGTTGTATTCAATTATCCCTAAGGTGTCGAAGTGTCCTTGGTTCAAAGGTTTGGAGGTGGGTCGAGACTTCATTCGTGTGATGTCTCGCCTCATGTCCAATCACTATTCACTAAGCGCTCACTTGTTCCGTGTTGGGCTGGGGGACAGTAATCTCTGTGAATGTGGACAAGGTTACCAGGACGCAGATCACATTATTTGGTCATGTGCTGAGCACCGTGGAGTCAGATCCGAGTTGTACGATTCCCTTCGGGCTCGAGGTAGACAACCTAATGTTCCAGTTCGGGATATTTTGGCTAGACGCGATCTGGAGTTTATGCAACTCATATATGTTTTCTTGAAGAATATTAACCATAGATTGTAAGTTTGATTAACCTTGTGTTTAGTTTGTGTTTTGTATGTGTGTGTGTATTTTTTTTTTGTAGATTTGTTTCTGTAATAATTGTATAATTACAGAGTTGATATAACGTCGATAGGATTAAGTATTTGTTTTAGAAATAGTGAAATTTTTGAATCATAAATCATATTCCAAATCTCCTTTTCCCTCTCCCGATCCAAACAATTGTCATCCACTAACCTCGAGAAGACCGCGAGTAATCGGTTCCAATCCTTTAATTTTAGATTTAAGACATTTATAATATATAAAGAAAATGATAACTTGGCTCTGTAAAGTTTATTCGAATGAGCCTGTACAAATAAAGTAATTAACAAAAAAAAAAAAAAAAAACATGGTTCATGAAATTTAATTTAATATCCACGTACAATAAACCAACACTTGGAGAATATTACTGAAAGGTTATTTACTGAAAGGATTATGATTTAAGAAGAGACCCAAGTATTTGGAACTTTGACATTTGTGTAGAGTCTGAAACTAAAACTTTTCGATTAATAACAACTTCGTGATGCAAGATTTGGAGAAAAAATAATTAAAATGTGAGATATTGTAAAATATTCAAGATCACAGATTTGAAAAAAAAAATCATATTTATGGGTCGTGGAGTCATAATTGTTAAGCCTATGATACTTGGAAGCATTTTAAGGGTTATAACAAATTACAGAACAATCTATAGAATCTTGCGGACAATCAGTGGAATTTTCAGTAAAATTTAAAAGTATTCAAAGTGTTGATTTCAAACAAATATTGAGGAGGAATCCAACATGATTTTCGAAGGAGAAGTTCTGAGCAGAATTCCAGAATTATTCTGACATGAAGTCCTTAGAAATTGTGATGAATTTGGAGGGATTTCTGTGGAGAAGAATGCAAGTTCTAAATTAAATTCATGTGTAACTTTAGAAGTATTCAAAAGGAAAAATAATTATGTTGAGAATTCAACAAGAAACAGAGTTCTACAAGTGTTTTGGGGATAATTTCAACCCTAGTGTGAAAGATTTATCACAGAGCACCAACAAAATTGATAGCAAAAAAATTGTGATAATTAGATAGAAATTCTTTAAAGTACTACAAGGGGTTTCTAAATATTTTTTTCAAAGATTTCTGCTGTTTTGAATAGAGTTAAAAGAAAATTTTGAAAATATTTTAAATGAATCAAAATCTTCAAATAGGTTCAAGGGAATTATGAGAAGGATACCAATCAAATTCTTAGAAGGGTTTTCAAGGAAGTTCAAAAAAAAATTCAACTGTAAATATAACGCGGAGCATTTTCTGGTTAAATTCGGATGAATTCCATAATAATTCAGAGCAGAATACCAAGTTAATTATGGAATTCGTATCATGAGAATTTTGAATAAAATTACACGGTTATTTTGATTTCGAATTGAAAACGAAAAATTAAAACCCCGGAAAAACCAGCATCTTCAATATTTTCTTTAAGGCCCATGCATTTTACATCTGAAATTGAAACGATAAAAATCAATTTGAAATATTGCCGTGTGATCAAATTCTAAAAACAATAAGACGGGAAACTGAAGAAAGTTATGCAGTAAATAGAGCAAGACAATCAATTGGTAAAGAATTACTCGGTTTTAATGGTTTAATCTGAAATTCTGGTGTAAACATTTGTTCCTATGGTATGGTAAATTTACTTTTCCCGGTTCTCTCGTTGAATTCACCGGTTACTTTTCAAACTCCCGGATATTTCCCCGTTCGCTGACCATCCTGTAAATCTGTTTTCTATGTCCAGCGACTCGAAATTAAAACAAAAACCAACAATTGGGAATTAAAACAAAATAACCGAAATCATGAAGATTCGTTCAACCCCTCATTCCTCTTACAACAAATTTATTAAGATAATTCAAAAATTGTAAAGAAATTCTAACGAGCGGAATTTAAGTATTTTCATCATTGTATCAAAAGTTTCACTTACCGGGGATGCATTTTGCAATACTTTACGTTTCTGCTACTGTAAATACACGATGTTGCTATTGCAATGCTATTATAAGTCCTATGAATTTAATTAAAACAGTTGAAGCTTCTATGTGATTTATCCTAAACTACTACTATATTCGCATAAAGACCAAAGTGAATTTAAGAAGAGAATCACCCTCGATCTGGTGGTTATTATTATACAAGTGACTTGAAAGCAAACTACAAAAGGCTTTCTGATCGTTCATTTCTCAGTGCAATTGAATTGAACGCCGAATCGACTCATCTAACCCGGACTTAACAAGTCCCATGTCCTATGGACTTCCTATCGGCTATCTACTGTTTTGCGAATAGTGGCAGTAAAGATGGATTAAAAACACATTTGTCCTGAATGAAACTAAAACTAAATACCTATGTTGTACAGCGAACACTGTAAAAGATTAACAACAGCGTTAATCAAATAAAAAAAAAAAAAACAACATAACAGCACCTGCTAAGGAATCGTCATTATCGATGTCTAAACACGCTTTTTCGATGTGAGCATGTATTATACAGCTTCATTGATTTCGCCTCCTTGTTGGTTTGTGTGTATTCAATGAAGGGCGAAAAATTTTATCAGTCAAGTGACTAGCAGTACGAATTCTTTCCTTTAGGTTTTTGGAAGGTTGCATCAAAAACGATAATTTTCACAAAATTCAATCAATAATGCTAGCAGAAACCCTGCTCAAAATGAAATGCACAGCAGATAGTTTAAGCTGGATCACCTTCAACAGTTCAATAGTGGATTAATTACTCTATAACATTGAGCTGTGCAAGCTAAGAAAAATAAAATTGGGTTGTAGATAAGAAAAATTACGTATTCCTTTAGAACTCTTTTAGGATAGTGACACCATTTCTTCTTGTGTATGTATCTTTTCTCACATTTATAGTAGTTTGGCACAATTCTAGAATATCATGGTTTAGGCAAATACTGGCAGATAGGAATATTTTTCTTCATCATCATCGTCATCGTCGCACATCCAAGATCGAAACGGAGGAAGAGTAGACAACTCAACATACAGTGAATGGAACTCCTTCGACGGATCCGACTGCAAAACAACGATCTCCAGCATTGCAGGCGCCGCTCAAAATCTGGTGACAATTCATGATTTCGGCATGGATTTCACGTTCTTCGTGCACCACAGATTTTCAAGCAACCGATCCGAGCAGATTTCGCATTTTTACGCACAAATTTGCACTATTTTTACAATTTTTCACACTCGCGGAGGACGAACTGAATATTTTTTGGTAATCTTTTTCACCTTTCACAAATGACAACAGTGACAGAGATAAGACAGGGTTAAACTACGGCGAAATCACTATCGAAAATTTAATGAGTGCGTTTAGTAGGTGCGGGAAACATTTCACAAAACTATATATCGACAGTGAGCATGCACAAGGGCGTAAACGCGATGATCGCTTCTCTTCGTCGATTTTCTCTTTTGTTAATAACTCGCTAGAATTAACGTTTCTCGGTGCGTTTGCTGCAAATTCTAGAAAATTGTTTCGCTTAGCTGTAGTAGCAATGCAAAGAGAAAATCGATGAAGAGGATCGATCATCGCGTATACGCCCTTATGCATGCTCACTGTCGATGTATTTGTATTTTTGTAACGCTTCACGCAGAACACAGGACCTTAACTCTCCGAGCAACAAACCAAAACCAATTTTTTCACTGTTATTGTAATATCATCGAAAATTTTCAATCGATTTCTGATGTTTTTATCGAAGACTACCCGCATAAACGCGAACCATAAATTGACCTTACCTAAAATGGTTAAAAATTGTTTATAATCCCTGCTAAACTTTAACTGAAATGGTTATGGAACTTTACATGAACGTTTAATGATAAAGTTTCAACCTTATGTATTAAGGTTTTTTGGAACTGGACCTTACAAATAATGGGTTGTTAAGAACCATTACCATTCCAAATTCTTGTTTTCTCCATACATTTTCAGAAAGAGAACTATATAAGAACGTTTTTACTTATGATTTGAGAACATTAATGGTAATGGTTATGGTAGTCAGTAAGGTCCATTAATGGTTTTGTATTATCGCTCAACTTTACGTGGAATATATCGTGAATTGGTAATCAGTAAATTACAGGCAACATGTAAAGTTCCATAACCATTTCAGTTAAAGTTTAGCAGGGATTATAAACAATTTTTAACCATTTTAGGTAAGGTCAATTTATGGTTCGCGTTTATGCAGGTAGCCCAAAGATGAATACTAAGATGAAACTGTCGGAAGAAAAACTTTCTATTTTAGTGTCCTCTTTCACGTTCCCTTTCATCCAATGAGAACCCCCCGTATTCAAGGTAATTTTGTGGTTTTGCTGCCCCCTCGGAAGAGATGAAATTTTGCGCTCATTTTTATCAAAACAATCACACCAAAATCAGAGATGTCCCATTTTTTAATTACTCGATTAACAACTAATCGATTATTTTTTGTTCGCTGTGCTGCCATTTTTCCACCAGAGAGAGTGCAGCACATGTTTGAAACGATCGGTGATGATCCTGTGGAGATGTTAATGCTTATATCGGCATGATCTAACCGATTATAAATAGTTTACTTTTCGGTTCGTTAATCGATTAAACGATTATTCGAATGAAAATCGGACATCACTAGATGAATGTGAAACGTCATTTCAAATATAAGACCGTTCATAAATAATGATACAATTTGAAAGGGACCGGGGCTAATCACAAATTTCGTCCCATGGTAACTGAAATAAACACGAGTGTTCACCGGTTGACTAGCCTACCGGTCCCAAGTACATCTATTAACGCGAGGATTAACGTTCCCCATTCTAGTCGAAATTCTTGTATTACACTCACGGCCAACTCGGGCCAATCATACCAACTCAGCGACTGAGAATAATTGACTCAGAGAATTTTCTTTCCATACGAAATTTACTCAGATTTGGAAGAAACTGCAGTTAGGGTTAACTACCCCATTTCCGGCCTATTAAGCACAACCCGCACTTAGTCTTTCTTAATCTAGCGCAGTTTAGCACCAAACGGAATGTTATTATTACTGATGGGTTCCAAATTTATTTACCTTTCCGTACGTACCATAAGATTTGATAAAGAGAAATCAATCGTTGAGATATTGTCAAAAGTCTAACACTGCTTCTTGACACCAAACTCGGCCTACGGATTCTAAACTCGGCCTAACGCATTGAAACGCCAATGAAACGCCAATGAATTCACTTCGGCCTATCGGATGAAGATAAAAATGGCTTCGGTCGGAGCGCTTCTTTTGTTTTTTAAGAATAATGGGTGCAAACCTTTGTATCACGCGTTCTCACTGACTTCGTTCCATAGATTATTAACTGAAGTATCGTACCAAACGCATAATTGACTTGTTAATTCTGAAATCATGGATTTATTTGAAGTTTTCTGCTCGATAGGTCAAAAATGGGCGATTAGGTCGAAGTAGTTCTCTACCCTACTCATAGCTTAAGCCTAGTATACAGATCGAAGCGAAACGAAATTTGAAGCACTCGTAAAATCATGAGATTTCGCTAGCGAAAAAGGTTGTGAAAAAATGTTTGTGGAACATTTTTAGGATTCCTTTTTCACAGTTGGTTTACAGCGAGGTTTACAGTTCATGTGAAACGAAATCGATCAGTTTACACCTCCGGTGAATTAAAAATCTGACAGATACGCTATTTCTCGAAACGTCAACTTTTCGCTTAGCTGCTGCCCTAATAAAAATTGTATGGTTAATTTGCTTAACGACGTGTTCTGGGTATCATCCAAACCATTTGTGGAATAGTTCAATGATTTGGGTTATCGTTCGTTTATGGTTATTTTTTATTAGGGTGCTCTTTCCGCGAGCGCTGCATGCGCGAAAAAATATAAACGTAAGCGAAAAAGATGCGATCCACAAAATTAGATTTCGCTGGATCGTATTTGTTTACTGTTCAAAGCGAAGTGTAAATTTGTCAATTGCGTTATTCACGCAGGTGAAAAATTTAGCATTTTGTACTCGATTTTGTATGAGATTTTCGCTTCGCTTTGATCTCTATACAGGCCTTCATGAGTAACTGCAGTTTCTTCCAAATCTGAGTAAATTTAGCATGGAAAGAAAATTCTCTGAGTCAATTATTCTCAGTCGCTGAGTTGGTATGATTGGCCGTGCATATGTTTGTTATGATTTTCGCTATGACAGTTTGACAGATAAAATGAGGGATTCGTGGATTTTCGCACACGCTCGTCTGATTTTACTCTAAAGTGAGTAACTTTGACTCAGTTTCGTATTTGTATACTAAATGTCAAAAACTGGGTAACATTAATTTAACAAAGTGAGTAACATTTACTCTAATTAAATAAATATGGATCTTTACTGTTTTGAGTAAGATCAAATGTAATAAACGTCCGAAAATTTTGAAGTCCTGAGCTGAAAGCAAATTCCTCGAGAAATTAGTAAGTAAAGCCGTTGGTCCCTGGTTCATGAATTAATGGGTCGATACGTATGGTCCAGGAGAAGCTGACTCCCTGGCGTCGGTAGCATTGGTACTCAGGACGGAAAACAAGATCGACGAGAAAAAAAAACGTCAAACGCCATGGCAATTGTCTAGGACTGAGCGACGCAGGTTGAGATGTTACCAATCAAGAAAACTTTAAATTGACCGTTAATTGCTTATTCGATGAAAAGTATCCGATTGGTTTATGTCGGTTGATCTGGACTGAAAGTTTACCGTGACTTTTAATGGCCACCCACGTTGCCGTTGGGCGTTTGCGTTGCGTTGACGTAAATCTGTCAGTAAGACAATAGATTTAGCTGTCATTTTGCCGCTACGCGTCAGATACGGATCTAATGTGGGTGATCCTTTATTGTGGCATAAGTAAAGCGTATAAATAGAAGATGTGACAAATTTACAAGGGGTAGGGGATGATAGGACATGTGATATAGTAAAATCAATTATTATACAGTCAGAACAATAGTTTTATTTAAGACATCCACTTTATAAGTTTATCCAGGTATGTAGGTAAAGATGGTGTGCAAAAAATAATTTGAAATATTTAGGGTTTAGGGATCTAATCTGGGCCTACAATGTTTCTATTATACGCCCTGGGTCATGCGGAGATGAACCTCAAAATCGAACCATTTTTTAGCTGTCAACTCGAACCAATTTACGAATACAAGTATTGCAGCCCATCAATATGAGAAATATTCGAATTATTCAATTTATGAACTGCCTTATGCGGCATTACAGTCCCATTAGCATTTTTGGTGAAAATCAATTGTACATTGAAATAGATTGTCAAGTAACATTACTTTACAGTATATTTGAAAAATTTCCTACTTTGTTTATAAAATGTCGCGAAAAATACCAAAACTATGTTGTCCCATCCATAGCCCATGGAGGAAAAAAAAACTTCAACAGCGTTTTTCTCAGCTTGCTGTTTCAACAAATGGGACAACTATTCTGAAAATGTATGCCAGAGCTGCCGACATTCAAAAAACACTCCGCATGAACCAGTACGTACACGCTTATCACTAAAACTCAGTATTCAAACTATTGAAGCATACATGCCTAATCAAACGGTGTGTTTGTCAAAAAAAATTGTAAATGGCTTAAAATATACATTTTTTCAATATTGGAACAACTAATTTAAAAACCGATACATCTTTGGTCCATGAAATACGTTCAGTTCATAGATCTAACAGCAAGGTACAAAGATTTCCTTAAACATATGAGCAAATATGGAACACTCACTAACAGACGGATCAATGTATTGCTTTAAAATTTTGATTGTCAATTATACAGAAAGCGGCAAGACGAGAAAATAAATAGTTGAATTTAAAAATTTGCTTTGTTTGATCTAGTAGTGATCTGGAAACTTTCGTGATTGTAAACAGTGTAAATTTTAGCCTGAAACATTTAATTTGAAACCCTGCTAAGATTTTTGATTTTATCTCGAAGATAATTGTTTTCATTTTGGTTCAATACATTGGTGAAAGGTAGGTGTATTGAATACTACAATATTCAAAAATGTGTATAGTTATCGCCGAAAACAGCATTCTTCGGACTACGAATAGTTTGGATACTACAACTCATTTTATCTGTGGTGTAACAAGTGGGAAATTATGTGGACCGTTGTAGATTCGTCTCAAATTACCCTCCAAAAGGGTGTCACAGCAGTGTATGATTATCATAAATAAATACTAATATATATATGTATGTTGTTTAGTCTTCTTAATGCTAAACATTCAACGACGCTTTCCGTTTACGTCTTTTGTCGACTTATGAATATTCACAGTATAGAATACCTTTATGCGTCTAATGTTCGTGGAGATTACACCACCCGACTATTAGTTTAGAGTAAATTACTTATCAGCAGGTGCTGCTGAACCAGTTGGTGCTGCTCCAGCAGGTCTCTGACCGGGTAAAGTTGCTGAATTAGTACAGTTACATATCGCTTCGAAAATTCTTAAAACTATTCCACGCGTGCGAGTTACAACACGATGTTGTTTCAGACCGCTGAGTAGTTTATTACCTGAAATTAAAACATATTCTTAGAGATCAATTTGAAATTACTAGCTTACGAATTCTGAAGAGATAGTCATTTTATGTTTTTTTTTCATATGGGAAATTTATTGTATTCAAATACTAACAAGTATTATTAAATTTATCAAATAAACATTAATATAAACACATAACAAACACAAAACCAGTATTGCATACTAGAATGCTACAATGATTTATCCAAATTCATAGTCATAGTCATAGCCTAAGGTAAATAGCCGACATTTCATCGACGTCATCTTTTAAGGGAAAACAAACACATCTGGGTTGTACTCAGCAGCACACTTCGCCGAATAAAATACTTTTTCGCAGGGGTCCTTGTATGTAGTTTCTAAAAACAGCAATGAATATCGCTTATTCATTTGAATGTCGTTAATAACAACATCAACTTACGAGTGTTTTTGCATGCGTTCAAAGCTTCTTTAGCGGGAACCTTGAGCTCTGGTGGCAGCATGGCTTCGATTTGTGCAGTTGTCTTGGATAGACTTAGTTCCCCTTTTTTCGTGAGCTGTGGATGAAATATCAGTTTCTATAATGTTCGTCAAATATTTACAAAAAAATTCTGGAAAACTGTTTTGTTACTGGGTAAAGATAGAGTGGCAATTGCCCCCTTCTGGTTATTCCTATGTTTGACAAAGTGGTCTACTGCATTCATTGTTGTAAATGTCAACTCCATCACACTTCATTAAAGTCACGCATGTTACTGGAGACAACGGGTTAGATTCTCGATCTGGTCCAATAATTTAACGTGTTATAAAATTACTCGAATTCCTTGGGCATATTAGTATCTTCGAGCATGCCTCGCAATATACGAATGCAAAAATTGTATAGGTTTGAAAAGTGTTTAATAGACACATGTGGACAAACCAAATTTAAGTGGGACGTAATAGACATGAAGAAATAAATTCTTTAATACAGTGCGAACCATGCACAACCTGCTCATTAGTAAACATAATCTCAAAACTTAATAAATTAAAATACCAATTTTATTGAAAATTTACCAATGTTTCATTTATTTAGTGTTAGATAATTTTACCTGACCGTTCATTTTTTTATTGCTTTAAGATAAAATAATATTCGACGAACATAATAGTCTAAATGACAGAAAGAATTTAATAGTTTCGAGTAATGTAGAAAGAATTTAAAACCTTTAATTACTATATTTTAAAAACTTTCTGTGAGCCAAATATAACCATTTTGTGAACCTATTCGTGTGAAATTATGTAGTTATATTCATCAGTGTTCTGATCATTTATGGGCAACTTTTTGTATAAATACATCAAAATTATGAATACAAGCAAATTTTCAGTGAAGGAAGGTTTTTTTTTATTATAATTACGTCTAATCCGGAGAAAAATTTTGGTTATTTCATAAGTCATAAAAACTTCATAGCGATTGGTAAACAAACAACAATGTTTTTAATGTGGTGGGTAAATTTAATAAAAAATAATCATACCTGAATTGTTAAGTGATGAGTTTTACGATTTATGAATTATGATGTTATGATTTATTGCACCTTCCTCGTGGTTATTATGTCCTAACTTGCACAGTTGTGAATTGAAGTCTTCCTAAGCTTGTATCATTTTTGTATTCACATCCTATTTAGCATCGATTCTCAACGTTCCTCCACCGTGTGATAAAGCTCGCTCAACATCGATTATTTTCATGTGCTTTTCGCTTTCTTTTTCGTGAGAATCGATTACATATCGTGTGGAAAGAATAACATTGGGATATTAAACTCACCGTTCCTGCCATTTGAGCAATGCACATGGTATAGCATTTCAATTCCTTGTCCGCATCATTCGGGAAGTTTCCTGATTTTAGCTCATCCAGTGATGCTAGAAGTTTGGTATACAACTTATTGGTAGTTTATTTCATTGAAAACCTAATAATTCACCTTCAACGACATTGAATTTTGGCGCGCACGCTTTTCTCATCATATCCAATGAGTTTCTTAGCTGTTTCATCGTCATCTACAAAATAGTGAATTCATAATTAAATGCTTTTAAACAAAACATAAAGATACTCACCGCACCATTGCTAGGATCTGGGATCCCCAAAGCTGATATCAAGAGCGCTACCGTTACAACGTTCATATCGAGTACTCATGCTTGATCTAAGAGACGTTTGCACATTGATTTCTCACATCACCAAATAACCGCCCACTGAAGCGAGCTTTCGAATTTATGTTGAGAAACTGCAATGTCACCTCTAGGAAAAAAAAAACGACAAAATTGCTCATTTCCACTTCCACGATAATTATATGATTGAGATCACACAAGTGGCGGTCTACGCGTAAGAATAAAATGAAATATCCGACGGGAATGCGGTGTCATAATTATTAGTTTGAAGGAACTATTGAAAGCTAATCGATGCGCATCAATCGGTACAACGAGGCTACATTTATATACACGTGATTGACTTTAAGCGTAGACAGGAGCACTCAATCCAAATCGAGTTAACAATGTATGCGCATTATATGTATGTTAGACTTGTCCGATTGCTTAATTTGTTTCAATTATATATGTAAGCTATAGACGGCCTCACCAGGCAATGATTGTTTTCAGCAACCAAAATAAATAAATCAATTTCACTGGATTCTTAGATCACAAAACTTAATTCAATGTATATACACGATGCCTTGGTGTTTTAGCTCAAATCGGTCGGGGGCAGACATCTGGATGAGATCACCGCCAAAAGATGCGCTAAAGGTGGAAGATGTAACGATGACAATAATCCGAATGAGGAAGGCACGCATACGACGGCTATAACTTTCTACGACTGTAGCACTGTAGTAGCTGGCAAGCTGTTGAAGACAGGTAAAGTCAAATTGGTATCGTCAGCGTGCTCGCTGTGGACTACATAGCAACTAGAAGGATGCTTAAGTCCATCGAACACCAGGCTAGGAACTGTAAAGGCCAAGACCGATCTTAGCTGTGTAGAAGATGCGATACCATTTCACGCGACTGTAATAAGAAGTCAAAGTGCATGCTCTGCAAAAAGGAGGACGGAAATGACCACACGGGAGGCTTCAAATGTCCAACAACGTACAAAAAGGTGATAGCGACAAAAAGTAATTGAGGTAACCCAAACATACCACAATCATTGCGTCACATCACATTATCTGAGTTGGGCCAAAAGTAATAAGATTGCGTACATAAAAACAAAATTATGGTGTAAATCCAGGAACATAAAAAAATTTCATTGGTCGAAAGGTACAGTAGCAGCACCTACCCCACCCGTGTCCGCTCGAGATCGTCAAGTCGACGATGACAGGAACACATACCGTGGTAACAATAGAGATTTTCACGTCCGGTTGTATTGGTGCGATATGTGAGAGCGTGTAAGTGAATATCCGAGGAAAATACATAACAAATCGATGTCAAACTCATTTTGACAGATCTACTTTCATACAATTTTTAGGTTAGCCAGAGGAAAATAATAAACAACTTTACACCAACAATCAATACGAAACTAACGATTTTAAATTGGCTCACTACTTGACTAGCCTATTGGTCCCAAGTAAATCGCCTAACCTACACCATTCTAGTATAAATTCCAGTACTACACTATGTTTGTTTTGATTCGTTATGAAAGTTTGACAGATAAAATTAGGGGTTAGTGGATTTTTCTATGTTCCGAGGGGTGAATCGATTAGCTTGGGACCGAAGATAGTACCAGAGCTGAGCCAAAAAGTTGAGCTCGTTTCTTCGGGACCTTCTGGTCTTAGAGTTACCTCTATGTTTACACGGCGTTGCTCCCGCTAGTGTGCGTGCGTTAAACGTCATTAATCTCTATAGCTGCAATTTCCAAACCTACGACTGGATGCCTTCCTTCAAATAACAACTGGAGTGCGGTAAAAATCGGTAGAACCAACTATCAATACGAAACTATCGATTTAAAATTGGCTCACTACTTGACTAGCTTATTGGTCCCAAGCAAATCGATTAACGTACCCCATTTTGGTCAACATTCTAGTACTACAGAATGTTTATTTTGATTAGCTATGAAAGTTTGACAGAAAAAATGAGGGGTTAGTGGAATTTCCTATGTTTCGAGGGGTGAATCGATTAGTTGGGACCGAAGATAGTACCAGAGCTGAGCCAAAAAGTAGAGCTCGTTTCTTCGGGACCTACTAGTCTTAGAGTTACCTCTATGGTAGAACCATAGAGGTAACTCTAAGACCACTGGGTCCCGAAGAAAATCATTATTATTTTTGGCTCACTCAGTACCAGAACAACGGTCCCAAGTAGTCCCAAGCTATTTCACTCACCCCTGCATGTTCTGCATGAATCCACACACCCCTGATGTTATCTGTCAAACTTTCATAGCGAATCAAAACAAACATAGTGTAGTAATAGAATTTCAACTAGAATAGGGTACGTTAATCGTTTGCTTGGGACCAATAGGCTACTAAAGTGGTGAGCCAATTTAAAATCGTTAGTTTCGTATTGATTGTTGGTAGAACTGTTTCAAACACATCGTCGGTACTTGAGCGGGTCGGAGATCATCTCTTTTTGACAGTGGTGGCGGGAGGGGGGGGGGGGGGCTTCCTCACAATCCCTCTCCAAAGGGGGAGTTTGGTAAAGAGAGATGATAAAACCGATTTGTACCATCCTAAAGTTGTCCTAGCTTGCTGTCTACTCTCTATATGCAATTTTCACACTGCCGTACTCTAAACGGAACTATCAGTTCTATACTTTCATCTCCTCATTCTATCGTATAAAAATTACCACTTTATTAGTATGCTATTTGAATTTAGCATCTTCAACTATAAAAAATGTTTTATTGACCTAAACCTGCTAAAATTACATGAGCTATCAGAATCCAAACATTTTAAAATATTTTTTGGAAGTGAATTGATAAATATGTTATCGGTTTTTATGCGGTTTCCCACATTTTGTCATAACCAGTTTGTTATTTCACACGCGTTAAAATTTGATAAACTAAATAAGGAAAACAAAGGAAGGAACTTTCCTACTTGCTGCAACTTTTCGTAATGGCAGTGAGCTACTTGCTCACTGCCATTACGAAAAATTGCAGCAACTTGTTTATGACTGAAATAAGTCATACAGATGTTTCGGCCACTGTGTTCAGTGACCAGGCTTTAGGTCGAGATCCTAACTGACAAAAAGTTTCGGCTGTGAACCAGTTTCAACCCGGATCAAAAACTAATTGATTTACTGTCGTGCGATACGCGTGCGATGAGCAGATACAAAGAAGATTGATGAAGATTTTGTAGATTTCCTACAAAAATATAGAGCACGATGCGAGTAGATAGATTCAAATGCGTAAAATGAAAATAAAAAATAGTTGTAGATATATTCGATTGCGTGAGCATTTCGAACATCTCAGGATTGAGATTTAGCGAGGGGGGCGACACATCTAAATCTCAATTCTAGATGCTCAAAAAATCTCACACTAGCGAATCAATCTTCGAAAAATCATCTTTCATTTCTCGCATCTACTTGCATCGTGCTTCATCTTTTTGCAGGAAATCTTCAAAATCGACATAAATCTTCCTTCTATCTACTCAGCGTGCGTGCAGCTAGCCACAGCAAAACACAATCTTTTCTGCATCGTAGATAGAGTCGTCCCCCTCGAAATTTAGTTATGTTGACCTGCTCAAAAATATGTTTTCCTTTGCAAATCATGCAAAAGTTTTGAAAATTCAGGGATTTAATGCATAAATTAACACAGCCTATTCATACATACCATTTCTAGGCCTTTCCTCCGCCTGAAAAATATAGACAGCATTTGTCAGCATTTTCTTCAATCTCAATATAATATATATATATAATATAATAATAACAGATATGTAGATCCTACCGATTTATCTTGAAGCTTAACTTCGGCGCTTTTCTGAGCTTCATTGAGCACCTCGTCCACGAAGACGTTCATCTCGCTCATTTTATCAGGGTCCTGTTTAAACTCCGCTATGCGACTGTCGATGTCATACTCGAGACTCCGTGACTCCTGGATGTCTAAGTTCATTACAACACGCATTTTGATTGATGTTAACTGAGTTCAGTTGATCAGTTATTGCAATGTCTGCAATAAAGAATAAATAACTTTCTAAAAATTGAAACTACTTATGTCACCTAGGAAAAACTAGGAAATGCCCTGAAGTTTTCGAAGTTATTCTGAAATTTCAGGAATTTCTTTAAGGTTTAGCAACGAAATAATTAATAAAGTTCTATGATTTTCACTGAAATTCTCAAGATTTGTCTGAAGTTCAAATAATCGAAACTAATTCATAACATTTTTTTTAAATAATGGAACTTCGTTGATGTTCTCTAATCAACTCAGCTTAATTTTCTAAATTTTTTAGATCTTGAAAATTCTATAATCTCACATTTTCCGGATGTTCATATATTTTTTTCTCTGAGCAAATCGAAGTTTCAGAAAATTCTTGGTAATTTTCTTGAAACTTCTTTAAGGTTTCTGCAATTTCCTTGAAATTTTTTGAACTACCCTTTAATTCTCTGATCTATCTTGATGTTGTCGGAGCTTCCCTAAAGCTTTCAATTCTAATGAATATCTCGGTTCTGCTTTAAAGTAAATGCATTTATCGTGAACACCTTTAAACTTCCCTGGAATTCTCTGGATTTCTGTGAAGTTCCTGAAATATTTCTGAAGTTTTCATAAATTTTCTGAAGGTCTCTGTATTGAATCTCTCGGAACATCTTAAGAATGGTTCTCGATTTTGTTTTAGCACATCATGGAACCACATGTCTGAGATGGAACTATCCTGAACTTGTCTCATGCTTATAGATTTTAAAAACCAATACAATAGTCTGGGCTAAAGTTTAGGGGACTTCCCTTTTAGATCTCTGGAATTCCCCAAAGATCTCTAGATCTGAGATAAATAGAACTTCTTAGAAGTTTGCACAATTTTGCTAATACGAAACTTCAAGACATTAAAAATGTTGTGAACTTAGACTTACTAAAATGAAGAAAGGGTCCAACTTAAATATTTAATAGATTTGATAGTAACACTGTTTCTTTAAAACTGATTGTGATGTCTTAAAACGTTTGCGTAAATTGCTGTTGTTGTTGTATTTTGAATGCATTTAATTTTTTATTATAGTCACTTTAACACTCTTGGGTCATTCGTGACTTGTCCGGGGATAAGATTTGAACTCGTAACATTGGCGTGAAAGGTATGGATGTTAACCACTAATACATTTGATAAATATCCACCAAAGTTATGGAAAAGCTTGGAAAACTCAGGGAACTTTATTTAGCCAAATGAGTGGACACCCTGTACATAAAGAAAGACGATTAAACGTAAAAAAAACTCTATACAAGGGCGTCAACTTCGAATTGTTAAAAAATTAGAACAAAATGTAGGCCTATCCTAGCTACACACTTAAAGCAGATTGTTTTTTTCCTTTGATTTGTTTTTCGTCGATCTTGTTTTCCGTGCTGAGCACCAATGCTACCGACGCCAGGGAGGCAGCTCCCACACCTGGACCCTACCTATCGACCCATCACAACACATGAACCGGGGACGAACGGCTTTACTTCCAAAGGAAGGCGTGATCAGAGATGTAATGCCTCAGAACATCCCGGCGGCGCCGACTGGGATTGAACCCAAGCCTGCTGGGGTGAGAGGTAATCACGCTTACCACTACACCACGGCACCGCTTGATACAATTTCTACTTGTTATGAAACAATACTAGAAGAAGAACATGTATTTATGTGGTGAGATATGTTGCGAAAATTGGATGGGTGGGTTCGATTCCCACCTGTAGGCAGTGGATTTTTTTTCACAATTTTCGCAACACATCTCACCACATAAATACATGTTCTTGTCTTCGAATATCGTTTCAAAACAAGTAGAAATAGTTTAACTCAACATTATTTATTTACCCTTGCAATCTAATATTTTAACATGCTTTACGCTGTGTCAATATGGTTTTATTGATTCCCTACCAGAACAAAGGCACTTCAAAGGAGTCCCTGGTACAGTATTACCAGGATACATAGAATTTCGAATGTTGAGACTTTAGAACACCTAGAGCACCCAGGTTAAATTAAATGTAAATTGCTTGGTAAATATTTTTGAATTTAGAACAAATAAAGAGTTAAACAAAAATCTTATAGTGTGATGAGAACTGTCCGGCCGATAGTTTCTCGGTCATAACCCAAAAACGGTAAGAGATGCCAACTCGGAAATTTTTACCAGTGACATTTACATGTAGGTTCCTTCCTTTTTTGTAAAAAATGCATTGATGGCTTTTATATTTTGTAATTTTACTGCGCAGTGAATATTCTTTCTGATTACATTTTTCATGAATTGCTGAGATTCCGTATGACTTTAATATGCCATGATCTTTATACTACGGCACTTCGGTCATGAGTTCATGTCATGTGATGTTCTGGACAATCAGAAAACTTCAACTAAAATTTTTCGGGAATTTTTTTTTTTTTAATTTCATTATCGTTCATACAACTATAAACTCTTCCCTTGGGTAAAATGTCATAACATTTTGTGACGGTTCAGCCCACTTCGTTCAATTATTTAAAAAAAATCCTAGATGTCACTCGGCTCCGAAACATTTTTTTTTATAAAGACTTCGGGATCATCTTCATGAAAAAGAGGAAGCCGAGCGGTTGACTCTGGAAAAAAAGAAGAGAAAATAAGAAAGAACGAACTGTTGAGTACGAAAAAAGCAAAACAGTAGATCGCCTCCCAGGAATAATCAGAAGAACTCATCAAAACTATTAAAAATCCTAAATTTCATCAGAACATGTTTCACTAAAATTATTCAATTTCCTTCGGTTCTGTAAAGTTTTTTTTTTAAGACAGCTGAGCGTAAACAAAAAAACGAATCGAAAAAAAAAAATGCCCGATGAAATCGAGATTTATCTATGTTATTTTTAATTAAATCCAATACTAACAAGTTTACATTTTCATTTATAAAGCTGTAGACGGTCACGGAATGAATATAATAATGAGATTCATTTTTAACAGCTAATTAGAAGACTCCAGTCCCTACTTAACTGGTTTACTGGTATGTAAGTAGAAAATTGCCTTGCAGTCAAGAGGAACATTATCTAGATTTGCTTGTTATCTTCTACACAGATGATACGAACAAAAACCTGTTGAGGTATGAATGATTTAAATGTTTGTTTTCGAGATAAAATTCATGCACCTCAACTAATTTAACAAAGAAAACTATACCGAGCTTCATCATTCATGCGACCAGCATCGGAACCAGTGGAAGGAGAAAAATCAATTTCGTTATCTTTGCAATCAATCAGTGTCCAGCTTTTCTCACCTGTTTCCCTTGTGAATCTAGAAGCGTTTCGCATAAGGTTGTTCCGCACGCAACGATAATCTTTCCTCACTTCACTTTTTGTCAGTTTTCTATGCTCTATTCTACAAGTAGGTAACGAATCAAACTAAATATGACCACAACAATCCACTAAATCGCACTAGGAACAATGATGTAGGCTTTTCAACACTACGGATCAAAAATCCGCGACTTCAGACTCGAGAAATCTCTTCAAATAAATTTATTACTAGTCTCGACGCTTAACATGTAAAAATCGCACACTGCACACTTCATCACGACGCGATGCGAGTTTCGCGTGCGAGAGAGGGAACAAGTGCTTCTCTCACCTCGACAAGTGTAGTATACAACAGCAGCAGCTTTGTAAATTGGTAAATATCACAAATCCGCATGCTCTCGTTATCTCACGCTTGTGAACAGCTCGCTCGCTCTCTTGACGATAGCACGCGTGCTTGATTGATCTGTGCTATAGGAGTTAACTAGCGGTCACGAGATACCAATCATACCAGTCAGTAGGGGTAAACAAACCAATCGACGCATATGTAGGTATTAATGGATTCACAATGTTTCTACAATTTATTAGGCTGCTGGTACCTATGCCCCTTAGTGAGAGGAAAGATGGCTTGACATTGATTTGATACCTTTAATCATTCCGCGAAAATCGCGAAAGTAGGTGTTTTCACAGTTCTCGACCAACAATAGAAAAGGACCCATCATCAGCTTTTGTAAACAAAACATGTGATTCCCTTTTCAAGTGAATGGAAGCTCGGCTAACAGCAATAAAACAACGTAATATGCATCAGCGTAATTAGGTTCTTTCAGGGTATTGAGGTAAATGCATATTCGTAATCTGCATTGAAAATGGATCCGAAATAATAAAAATTTCATCAATTTTGGTGCACAGGAACTATTTTATAAAAGTGCAAATTCACCATCATTGCGCCCTTCAGTGGAACTTTGTGTGGGAGCAAGCTGTCAATTTGTTAGTTTAGTGTCAAACAGTGCAGCTATGAAATCGAAAAATTTACATTGTGCTCAAAATATGAAGCTATTTCAGATGATGTATAATAATCGAAATATTTTTCAAAATTAAAGAACCCAATTCATTTTGACGTATGAAAATTGATGTAATCGCAAAAAGCAAGTACCTACAATATTAGATCATTAAATCATTTTTTTTTTCGCAAATTCTGTGTACACCGTACAACGTAATATAACACAACCCATGGAATGACCTATATGTGCATGTTTCTATGTAATATTCAACAGGTTTTTTGCTGTGTATGCAAACCAGCATACTATCGTGAAGGGGAGAATTCCTCCAAGCTGATAAATTGTTGGTTTGTATAGGCGAGCTTTGAATCGCGCGGAAACGATATTAGTTTTGTTTACCAACCTTATGGGCCCTTTTCAATTGTTAGTCGAAAGTTTTGTCCTATATCTTGTATTTATTTATACTACGTTTGTTTGGCTGCGCGGTACGTAATAGCGCAGGAGGCTTGCTATGCATATAGGTAGGTATATAGGTACAATAAAGAAGAGAAGGAAATGTGCATCTGTGTAGTGTCAGTGTCAGTTCTCTTTCGTATCGGTAAAGGGCTATGGGAGAGAGAAAGAGCCGTTTCTCTGCGTTTGATTGCATTGGGTGGGATCGAAGCAGGCGGTAATCAACATCAACATGATCCGATTATGTTGTGTCGTTGATGCCGTTCCGCTATGTTGACGGTTGATGTCAATAGGGTTCCACAAATAATTTGGATGATACCCCGAAAACACGTCGTTACACCTAACCCTTTTTTTACGCGGCTTCATTTTTCAAATTTTATTTTTCTGTGGTGAACATATTTTTCGATGATTTTTTGACACCAGTTGCATCAAGTTTGGTTTTATTTGAACATCGGAAAAAATGGGAATTAGGAACGCATAAAAATTGCTGGATGTGGTTATTTTTATTAGGTATGGGCCATTTGGGGCAAGAAGAGCATCGTCTCCCATACAAAATCATGCAAATTATACAAAATGCAAACATATAGCGATTAACATAGTAGGTCTTAGAAAATAAAGTTTAATGAACTTGTTTGTTATTCTGGCATTGGTTAGCTGAAGTGTCACAAGCATATTTTTTTTTTAAATTGCATTATAAAGTTTTGAAAATCTGGTCTGGAATGGGGCAAGACGAGCACCATCAATTTATAAGTGTTCTAAGGGCCCTATTATGTTAGTCGAGTAGAGCGTCACTGCTGGTCACTGGCCAAATTTGTGTTACTTATGTTATGCTAAAACAGAAGTAACGCTCGACTCGACTCGGGCTCATTATGTCTAAAATTCATTCCATACGCAACAATATCATTAAATTTATCAAGTTCGTGATGATAACGAAAAATAAAGCACAGTTAAGATTAATTTATCATAGAAGTTCAACAATATAAGAAAATATTATGGTTTCGAGTAAAATCTCATGAATCTTATATAAGCATTGTCTAATTTTGATGTACTTTGCAAAAACTAACATTTGTAACTTTTATAAGGAGGCACGGCAACAGATCTTGGAGCACGCGCAGAAGACGACAGGCTGCCGGCCCCTGATCTTCAAGAAGTTGAGGAGGAAATTGGTTGACTGAAGAACAACAAAGCAACTGGTGTAGATCAACTACCAAGTGACCTATTCAAATACGGTAGTGAAACATTGGCTAGAGCGCTGCACTGGGTATTTGCCAAGATTTGGGAGGATGAGATATGAGAAATGGATGGAAGGTGTATGTAGGAGCTCAGTAGCAGTCGACCAAAGAGTCCGAACCTACTGACGAAATGAGTGGACGGAATGAGTTGAATGAACACGATGCATGTGGTTGTCTGTGTAATTGGAATGACAAACTGTTAGAATGTTTTCGTATAAAAAGGCCTATCAATAAACAGCTAAGCAAGTTGACTTTTGAAACCTCAACTATCGACAAGTGTTTTTCTTTACTCCATATGAAGAAAAGCTCCTCTTGTTAAAGTGGAGTACGAGGATAGAATTTCGGTAGTGAAAGTGCTATACTGTGTCCTATCTACAAAAACGGAGTATGTATTTTTTGTTAAGAAAGTTTTTCTTTTCTTTTGCCTTGCCCGGCAGCACATAACATATTAATGTGGAGCTTCATGCCAAATAACTGATAAAAAGTTGGCCCCTTTGTTGTGTTGCCTCAGCGGTATAACTGGTATAGTTGGCCATCGATCTGTCAAAATAAAATTTTCATGATATCGACACTGTGCGTTCACAAGGACCAATGTTGAAAACGTAAACAATGGTTTCTTTCGTAAATTTCTCGTAGTTCAAAGTCAATTCATGTAAGCGTCCAATTCTATCAGATAGGGGGACTCTCCCTCTACATAATCATCAACCGGTGAACACTCGTGTTTATTTCAGTTACCGTTGGGACGTAATTTGTGACTAGCCCCGATCCCTTTCAAATTGTATCATTATTTATGTACGTTCCTTATATTTTAAATGACGTTTCATTTTCAGTGATGGCCGATTTTCATTCGAATAATCGATAAACCGATTAACGAACCGAACAGTAAAATATATGTAATCGGTTATATCTTGCCGATATAAGCATTAACTTCTTCAGAGGATCATCACCGATCGTTTCAAACAAGTTTTGCACTCTCATTGGTGGAAAAATGACAGGACAGCGAACAAAAAATAATCGATTAGTTGTTAATCGAGTAATTAAAAAATGGGACACCTCTGATTTTGGTGTGATTGTTTTGATAAAAAAGCGAGGGGGCAGCTAAACCACAAAATTACCTTGCATACTGGGGGTATTCATTGGATGAAAGGGACCGTGAAAGAGGACACTAAAATTGAAAGTTTTTCTTCCGACAGTTTCATCTTAGTATTCATCTTTGTAATCATCGTGGTGGTTAGCATAGCATTTGCAATGTAAAATTAGACGAACTATACGTTGTATTCGGGGTACTCGTATACAACGTATATTCGTTATAAGTCAGGGTAACACAGTAGTCATGGAATTATAAACCAAGTTATTGTTATTTTAATAGAATTGACTATCCCCTTGATTCCCTTTCTCATTTTACATCTGGTATAATCAATTGACAGATCGATGTCTTTCTATACCACTTGAAATCACTGAAATGGGTCGATTTTTGATGATCGAGTTCCACATATCTAGATAGAGCTGGAATTAGGGCGTAACAGATTTTGTAAACAATGACTTTTCTCGATGATATCTAGAAAGCCAAGGCTCGCCTACTCAAATCAACGTCACCATCGTGTAGGGGAAGACTTCTCCTTCCCGTTGGTTATGTTGGTTGCGTGGGCGTGCCTTGAGTTTCGAGAAATCATCGAGAGAAGTCATTGTTTACAAAAGCTGTTTCGCCGCCCTAATTCCAGCTCTATCAAGATATGTTATGTACCGGGTGATTGTTTTTCTTTTTTCCTTTGGTTTGTTTTTTTCCGTCGATCTTGTTTTCCGTGCTGAGCACCAATGCTACCGACGTGCCAGGAAGGCAGCTCCCACACCTGGACCCTACCTATCGACCCATCAACTCATGAACCGGGGACCAACGGCTTTACTTCCCATCCGAAGGAAGGCGTGATCAGAGATGTTATGTCTCAGAACATCCCGGCGGCGCCGACTGGGATTGAACCCAGGCCTACTGGGGGGTGATTGTGGACAGGCGTTAGAAATTGGCTTTGTGGAACCGGAAAGAACAAGACAGCCAGTTTTGGAAAGCTGTTGCTGTGGAAGGTGCTGTGTTGTTGCTTACTCTGAGTAAAACGGCAGTTTGCTGCACCCTGGTCCGAGCCAGATTTTGGTCGGAAAAGTGGCAGGAAAAGCGGTACGTGCTCCATTTTCTATTTTACCATTGTTCCGGGAGGTAGTTTGGTGGATGTTGTTCTGCAGATTTAGACCATTTAGACTGTGCCGGAGTAGTCATTTTACTCCGTGTATAAAATTTTCCTTGTTCTTCGGCAGGTTTTGTCAGAACAATATACTTTTTTTTGTGTAAATAATAAAATCACTATTTTGCCAAACAGTGATACGGCAAGGTTTGTCGATAATTTTGATTTTGGGCATTGCTTGGAAATAGTGAATGTGACGACAATTTTAAGATTATTTTTGCAATTTTTAACCTAAGGTTGCTATTTTATCCAGGACGACACCCCAATCTGAGCCCAATCTGATCCAGATTTTTGTCAGATGAAATCTTGCTTACATCCATTTTATATCCTTGTCACCGGCGCTGCTAATGTACGAAGTT